AGAATTTGAACTCTCATGGTCCAGAAACTATAATCTTATTGCAGGGGTGGATTGAGGCCGTCTTCTGGGTCTTTCAGATGACGGTCAGATTTTAAAGTTTACATTGACTGGTATCAATTTTTTTCTGTTGGAAGACCATCAAAAGTGTAGGATGGATCAACAAATATAGTTTGGAATACTGTCAGAAAATACCTCTGGATCTGCTCCTGTTATTGAGCATGTTACCTGTTGTGCATGATTAAAATTCAGTGTTAACTGACTGTGTTATTATAAGCATTATTTATTATTGCATTAAAATTGACAAAATGACCTATTTTGCATCTTTATTTTTTGTTTTTTGTCTGTACATTTGACAGCTTTGCTGCCTTGTTATTTTAGTATTGCCACCCCCATGTCACACACAGCTGGGCACCATGGAACAACCCTCAATATCTTCAGTGTAGTCTGCGTATCTCAAGTGCGTTCGTTTCCAAGCCAGTGGGCTATATTTAAAGCTTATGATAACAGGAGTTCTTGTGAGAGATCCAAATTTAAAATCTAAATACACCATTGGTAAATAAAGTTGCCAAAACCTTTAATGCCATATCATTTTATTTGCATATGATCACCTGACAGTATGCATAGTTATAAACACATACCATTCAAGTCTTCTCAATTATATGAAATTTCTAATCTCTCTGGAAAAAAAAAACGTGAAACATCGAATTTGAGGGAGAAATATGTTGCAAATTTGAATAAATGATATAAAATACGGAATATTTCACCACGATTTATTTAAAACTCCGTATTAAAAGTCATGTTAGGCATGTTATCATTTATTTTTAAATAGTTAGAAATCATGTTGAGGGTTACCATCGGTGTTCTTTGTCTATTCGTTTGTCTGTTTGTTTGCATCATTCTTGGGGTGACTATGGCTACGAATGCTATTTTTTTTTTCCATTTGAAGTCATATATTTTTCTTGAGTATTTAAATGTTTTTATCACATCATTTTTTTGTTTGTTTTTAAAAATCTTATCTTGTCTGTTTTGATTTTCTGTCGCGTCTCATCCTATAGGTAATATTGCGCTGGATTTGAAGTTTGTTTCAATAAGCGGGTATATACAAACAGTTACGATAAGACACACAGTGGACACAGCCTAAATTTGATCGCTTACCTGCCCTTGGACTCAAACAGTCGTATCAAATAGTCCTATGGTTTACATACAAAACAGTTAAAGGCGCACGCGGGCGCCCCATAGAAAGAATCAAATCTTTGGCAACTACGACTTACAATAGAACGTGTCAACTGTGATGCTTACTTGATTTTTGAGTACTTTATAGCTTAAAATGAAGACCACATTTTTGTTTTATTCGGCAACTACGACTTACAATAGAGTGTGTCAACAGTGAAGCTTACTCGATTTCTAACTACGTTATAACTTAAAAAAGAGTGTGTCAACAGTAAAGTAACTGTGTCAAAAATTTTTAGAGTTCAAGCTGGACTACTACGGTTGACAATAGAGTGTGTTAACATCGGCGCTTTGGCTATTTATGAATGAGAGAGAGGTATAAGAACCAAATACCTTAAGTGATATTGTTCACAAACACTTAGAATTAATATGTTAGGTTAACCCAATATTTTACTAAAATGAATGCTGTCAGAGTGAAGCTTACTCGATGTTTGTACATTTCCTTTTCACCATCCTCGGTCGGGAGGAGAGGGAAAGAAATCAAAGACAGTAGTCAAGGAGGAGGAGGTACATGAAGGGAGGCGGGGGAAGAGTAAGTGAGGAGGTGTAGGAAAGAGGGTTTAGGGAAGAGGAAGTACATCCTCCTCCATACCTCCTCCCTTACTCCCCTCCTCCTCATCTGCCCTTTTTCACTCTATTATTGTTAACCATAGTAGCCCAACATGTATGCTTAAACTCTTAGAATTTCTGACACAGTTACTTCACTGATGACACACTCTATTGTAAGTCGTAGTTGCTCAAAAATTACTTCTTTGTATGGGACGCACGTGCGGCTTTACTGTGTGGTGTGTAAACCATTTAGACGTATAGAAATATTTGATACGACTGTTTGAGTCCAAGGGCATTTGAGCGATCAAATATAGACTGCATGTCCAATGCGTATCTTAGGGTAACTGTTTGTATACCCGCTTATTAAAACAAACTTCAGAGCAAGCGCACTATTACCTATAGGATGAGAAGCGAATAAGACAATAAATAAGGCTTTTAAAGAAGAAAGCAATTAAAAAGCATTGGTAGACATAGTTACCCCCAAAAAATGATGCAAACAAACAAACAAACGGACACGCAAACAAACAAACAATCCACCCGCCGATGGTAACCCTCAGCCTGATTTCTAACTACTTTGTTATCATTTGATTAATAGAAGAACGAAGAATTGGAGGTAGGACACCATTTTTATGTCAAGTGTATATTGAAGTGTAATCGGTTATTGAAAAAACAAAAATAAGTAAGAAGTGAAAAACAAACATCCCTTGAATTTTCAGCAGGCCTTGCACAGTTAATATTGGCATTTTAAGACAATCTGTTATTCAATTTACCATACACAGCTTATAAATTCTAACCAAGATCTCGTCTCAATCGACGTTCTGTTTTCAACAAGATGACTGTTAACAGATCATTTCACGTGCAAGGTCACGAAAGGTCACGCGCTAGGCGCTTGCTTGACTGGGTCACAGATACAGTTATCATTCTACATACTTATTTTTTGAATCAGTGAAAATTATTTTTTTCTGTTTATGAGGTCGGTCGGTCTCAGATAATGGAGGTTGATAGTTATTTTGAATTTCAATTTCTAGGTAGAAATTAAAAAAAGAAGTAAATTGCGTTGTCCGCAAGCAAAGAATAAGCAAATACATACAAAGGGACAGACATAATAAAATTATAAACATTAATATTTCATTAATCAACCCATAAGTGACATGAATAAATTGATAAATGATAAATTAGTTTTAAAAATGAATGAGTAAGCAAATGGAGTAGAAAATAGTAAACAAATAAGAAAGTAATCAGTCGATCGAATAGTGTTGTTAATAAATAAGCCACTTCTTTCCTTCTCAAATGTGTTATTCACTATATAACCGTGAACACTTTATCTCATTTCAGATGTATCTCAAATGTAATTCGTACGCAAGCTGTAGTTCATTAAAATTTAAAATAAAAAATACCCTATTTTCTGAGCGGAGAGTTTTTATGTCTATTACGGAATATGATTCTGACTTCATTTTTACTCTTTAGTGGAAAGCGGACTTTCCGAGATATTTAAATCAACACTAAATCTTATTACAGAAAATCCCACCTTAAAATATATATTTTCGTTGAAACAATCGAGTTGGAACTTGCCCAATTAGTAAAGAAATAAAAAATTCTCTATAGCCAGCGGGGTGGGGCCGGGGGTCACTATTTGTGGGCCTCAATTTTGCATTTATGAATATGAAAATGATGAATACAAACATTTGTTTTGAATTTCCATTCCCAATCCAATTTGTCGACATTTTCAAAACGCACTGTATACGTAGAAAGAGGTAATAAAAACGCACACGCTGACAGGATAATTACAAAAATAAATGCATATATGAATATATACATGAAATAAAGCAAGAGATATTAGGTAGAAAAAGTACCTGTAGATCAAATAGTTTCATTAAGCACCACCATTTCCTATGATTTTCATTTGATCATTTATTCATGTTTCACCAATTGCACCAATATATTAAAGCTTTTTTAAGATACTGCTACAATGCAATGTGAACGTTAACAGCTGTTTGAATATCAAAATATTTTTCTTAAGGAGTCTAACCTTTTTCTTCTGAGAATGAAAAAAAAATAGACCGCATTTCGATCTCACACGTGTACTTTTATTTGGATAAAACGGAACTTTACGTACCAAGGAGAAATCCAGCATGGATAAATAACCGTTCCCTCGAAAATAAAAATGATCCGCCTTGTGATACAAAGAGACATACACAATATGCAATCATGTAGAAATGCATTTTTCGAAATCCATCGTTATTAATTAATTAATTAATTTGTAAAATGAAAACATGAGTCCCACTTCAGTCCTATTTTCCCTTTCTTGCTCAACTGAAAGAAATTCATTCCGAAAGCACATAATTTTTCATAGAATAGAAGCGACAAAAATCTCGCATGATACCGGAAATCACGAGCACCACGAGGTCTAAAAATGCCCACAAATATGCGTTATATTGGAAAGAGGCAGAACAATAAGAACAAAATAAGAAATGTGAATATGTTCCAAATTGTAAATATATTGATCTTTATAAGTATTGATTTTTATCTTCAAATAAAAATAAAAGCAGTTGTACAGTATCGTACAATTATTCATTTATTCATTCGTTTATTCATACGACCACTCACCCAAAGGTATTTATTCTCTCTCTCTCTCTCTCTCTCTCTCTCAAACACACACACACACACACAAACACACACACAGAGAAGTGTATTCATTCACTTGCATATTTTCACTTATGCATTCTCTAATCTGTTTTTGTTTTACGCATAACATTTATTTTTAAACAACTGGCACATATGCAACTGACTTTAAGGAAGCTATGGAACTTACTCTAGACCATGGGACTATCAACGGCTCTGAACGCATTTTGGCTATCATATCCTCAATTTCGGAGGCAGCAGTGTTTCCAGTCTGTAAGTTAGAATTGTCCAACATGATCTTTCTGTTCTCACACATCTCGACAAATTCCTTAAATTCCAGCGGACTGTCTTCCAAATAGTCTCTTAACGTATTGTCGACTTCATGGTTAGTAAAGGTAAAGACTATGATGGTGCGTCTGTGGTAGTTTGGCCCGAAAACATCATTAAGTTGTTGTATTAAAGAAATCAGGGAGCTTTTGATTCGCCAGTAACGCACCACGAATAACACAGCGTGCACTTCACCGACCGCGTGGGCTTTTTCGTTTATCACGCGCAGCACGTGCGAGTCCGTTGTGTCCAGTGAGCCGAAACCTGGCGTATCATAGAATGTACATTTCTCGTGTGTTCTCTTCTCTATTCCGCTCTCCGCCGGTCCCTTGTAATCTACGTCCCGTGTAATGTTCATCATAGTGGCTGACTTGCCGTGTCCCTTGTACCCCACTATGAACACGTTATAGTCCTGCGGGTCGTGGCTGTCAGCGCTGGCTTCTTTCGGGTTTTGACACGCCATCCTCCTGTTCACCACAACTACCTGGGATTTAACTTTCACTAGTCACAGTTTCGTAATTATGATGAAGACCTGTACCCTTTACAGAGTCAGTTACCTGACCGGAGACCCTCTATCAGACTATGATAGCAGCGGGAGTCGAGGAAGAGTGCCCAAGATGCTGATCTGAATGTACTTTATCAGTGTGACAGCCGGTTTCGAGGGAGGGGGTCCAAGAGTTCAGCGTGTGTCTGTCTCTCTCACAGTCTACTGCTGGACAAATGTCCTTGACCAGCTTCTTGATCGCCGCACTTACTATCAAGGTTCCGTCCCTCTAATAAGATTTTGAGTACTGGGCATATAGTCTCTAGTATTCCTGGCCTCAACTCAACCCTAATCGGGAGCAGATATTGCAGATCGTTTTTGAGTGAAGAGGTTAAATCAAATGTGTGCATTACATAAGCGCCATCTATATGTTGAAGCTCTTGTTAACTGTGTTTTTGTAGTCTTCATCTCAGCAATGCATGGAGGCTTTCGTCTTTTTATTGAAACCTTTATTACATGTGACAGTTGTTGCAATGAGATTTACAAACACACTTTATTGTGTGTGCGCGAAATAAACTAGTAATGATTGGGATAACAGCCTAGTTCTAACGAATCAGTCAAATTTTACATCGTCCAGGCAAAATTAGGATTTCAAGATTAAAATATTAGTAGGTAGATTGAAATTTCAGTATTACTGCAGAGATATTACGTGAATATCATCATAAATATAGTAAAAATACATCATATACTATATATATTTCCCTTTTGATTATCCTTTACAGGGAAATTTAAGATTATAGGAATTATATGTTTAAGATTATAGATTATATTTAAGATTATAGGAGTTATATGTTTAATTCACCACAATCCTAGATTTCATGGCTGTTGACTGTTTTTGATACCTGAAAATAATCTTATAGTTAGAGATAGGTATGACTTTGCAGAAGTTATGGTTAAGTGAATGAGTGCAATTTTCGACTTCTGACACCGAAGCCGTGTACGTAGTCAATGTAGACCCTCCAGCCTGTATCCAAATGATTACGAAGAAAGAGCTATATTGGATAATCGTACAACTTGAAGAGACACTTATGAAAAAGCATGATACGAACATAAAAATACAAAATGGTTTTTATAATTCAACACTTCATCATCATCATTAACGAAAAATCACCAAACAAAGGTGAAATGATTTGTTTTCTGACCGAGCACCCCTACCCCCCTTTCACGTTTTTTATTTAGTTATATCTCCCCTTTCGATAGACTTGCAGCCGATGAGGGTTATTTGTTGGTTGAAATGCCCGTTCCTGCAACCAGCCCACCTTGAACTTTTCCCCATCCTACTGCCGTGCCTAACTCGGTCCACGATAAGAGGCGAGGCACCTTAATCCATTTATCGTTAATTGACCTTTTCAGGGCACCAAATTATGGCCTCATTGCACAGATAACGATAAACTTTATGGTATGTACTGTAGGCGAGACACCTACATCTCTATCTCATGATTCTAAGTCTTCCTTACTCTGTAAGGGGCGCTGTCAAAACACACGTTGATAGCTCCAGCTTTCTATAATCTTGACTTTGCTAATTCAAGATCATCAAGAGATAAAAACACATTGTTTAATGCATTTTTACGATTTTTACAATGACATTCACTTTACGCTTCATTGTTATATTGAAATTTCAATTTAAGCTAGTTTATGGGAACACACCCTTTGTATCTACAACGCAATGTACCGTGTAATTCGATGATGAAATGCCCTACTTCCTGAGCCTAAATCTGTTGATGAGAGGTTCAGAATGAACAGCATTTTGACTCCATTCTGACCCTTTACGTGGAACGTGGGGTTTCCAGGAAGATGAATCGAAACTAAAAGTTGACAAAAAAAAAAAAAAAAAAAACAGCTTGATAAAAGCTTTTTTTATAAGAACAACCGAGTCTGAACTTTCTGTAACTAATCAAGAAATAACCACAGGAAAGTCCAGGAAATTAATATGCATTTGCTTTCGAATCGGCCGTTAGGACAATTTGTTACTCAGTATGCGAGGAGCATAAAAATGTAACCCGTTGATGAAATGTTTTACTTTCTGAGCCTAAACTTTTTTATGAGCGGTGCAGAACATGATTGACCGCATTCTGACTCACTTCTGAAGTTTAACGTGGAACGCGGGTTTTCCAGGAAGATGAATCGAAACTAAAAGTGGACACAGAAAATCCCACATTGAAAATAGCTCGCACACAATTTAGTCGAGATATAAACAGCAGGAAATTAATATGCGTTATTTTTCAAAACAGGGAATTTATTTCTCTGCAAACTAGAAGCGGACGGAGAGGGGAGGTGCTATTTGTATCAAGAGGTGGGCCGCAATTTTGCATGTGAAAATGATAGATACAAATATTTGTTTTAAATTTCAGTTTCTAGTCTGATGTGAACAAATGTTAAAAACGCGATGCGTTCGAAGAGAGAAGTAAAAAAAAAATCAAACACGCTGAGATACATTAAATTAATTAATTACTAACATGAATAGGTAAATTAAATAAAACGCCGGATATATATAAAAAAATAAAAAGTAAGTAGTTATAGACAAAATTGCTCCATAAACTAACACGATATTCGACATTTTTCATTCAATTTAATTTATTCATGTATATTTCACCACATGCACCATTTAACCTCTTTAAAAAAACAGCTACAATGTAATGTGAACGTTAGCAGCTGTTGAATATCACAATTATCCTGCTTTTAGAGTCTAAAAGTGTACATGTGAGATTGTAAAGAGTGGTTGACCACATTACGATCTCATATCTCACATGAATGAAAAATCGGGATTAATTCATTAAAAAGGATGATAAATTCGTATTCTTGTGCCCGTGGGATTATGGCTCCCCTAGTTCTGAATGAAGATGAATAGTTTTCTTGATATTTTTCCCATTTTTTTCACCCAATATTTTACCATCAAACTTTCAAATAATTCTAATATACATTGTATTATTCATAAATTATACTAGAAGGAAAGATGGACCATGGGACTGCCAATGGCTCTGATTGCATTCTGTTCGTTATCATGTCCACAATTTGTGAGGCAGCATTTTCCCCAGTCTGGAAGTCAGAATTTTCCAACATGATCACCCTGCCATTACACAAGCCGACAAATTTCTGAAATTCCGGCGGACTGTCATTCAAATAGTCGGCTAACTTTAAGTCGGCTTCATGGTTAGTGAAAGTAAAGACTATGATGGTACGTCTGTGGTAGTCTGGCCCGAATGCGTCCTGGAGTAGATGTATAAAAGTAATCACTGAGCTTGTGATGTGCGAATAACGCAGTACAAATAACACGGCGTGCACTTCACCGACCGCGTGGGCTTTTGCGTTTATCACGCGCAGCACGTGCGAGTCCGTTGTGTCCAGTGAGCCGAAACCTGGCGTATCATAAAATGTACATTTCTCGTGTGTTCTCTCCTCTATTTTGTAGCCCGCGGCTCCCTTGTAATTTACGTCCCGTATAATGTTCATCATAGTGGCTGACTTGCCGTGTCCCTTGTACCCCACTATGAACACGTTATAGTCTTGCAGACTGGGGCAGGCAACGCTGGTTTCTTCCAGCTTTTGGTACGCCATTCTCCTGCTCATTACGGCTACTTGTTTTTTTCTTTATCTACTCGTAGTTGCTTAATTATTATGAAGACCTGTCCTCTACAGAGCCAGGGGGCATGTCTGAATGTCCTCTTTCAGTGTGCCAGCTTTAGTCGAGGGAGAGGGTCCAAGGTTTCAGCGTGTCTTTTTCACCATTGGGCAAATCTTCTCGACCAGCCTCCTTGACCGCCGCCCTAATTGACCAGTCCCTCTTATAAGAACCCGTGTACTGGGTATTTAGTCTCTAGAATGAATCGCCTCAACTCAACCCTCATGTGGAACAGATATGACCGACCGTTTTTAATTGTGGGGTTATAAGCTCAAATTTATACATTGCATAGGCGCCATCTATATGTAAAATTCTTGTTAACTGTGTTTTTGTGTTCTTCGCCTCAGTAATACCACATTCTTTTTATTGAAGCATTTGTTAGATATTTATTGATGTGACAGTTGTTGCTTTGTGAAGTACAAACATACTTTAATTTACACACAAATAGCAATAAAATAGTAATGAATAGTGAAAATAGCATAATTATAATAATAATTGTTTTGTTAGTTAGCTTATATGTATTTTGGTAATGGAATGGTCTAAAGTAGTTATACTTACTTAAGCGTATGCGCACAATTTATGTAAAACTGTAGTTTGGAGAGCTTATAAAATGTAACTGTACACATTTTAATGCTCAATAAATTATTATTATTATTATTATTATTATTATTATTATGATTGACTTTATAATACATATTTGTTCAGTAAAATTAAAAATGTATCTTGAATGAATAATAAAATAGAGTAGTTGAAGAAAAAAAAATTGATCAAAACAAATGATGTAGAAACTTAAAATGTTACATCATAGCCCTTAACACGTGTAGTCATATTGTATGTTTTATGCATTCACTTTTAGTAAACACACGCACATACGTACACATTTCTACACAAATTAAAAAAAAACGTACACAAATACTCAAAGATAATTTTCACAATCACACACATTATACACACGCTTTCAAGACATATGAAACGATTGCTTTGTCTGCTGTAGCCCCAGATAACAAGCAGAATAATGTCAGCTGTGCTAGGTGAGATGTGTCCCACCTAACACAATTAAGAAAATAAATGTTCAAGTCAAAGAGGAAAAAAAATATAAGGTAAAGCAAACAAATCAAAGTGAAAAGCCCAGTGATATAATAATAGCAACAACAAGCACAACAAAATTAATAGTAATAATGATAATAATAATAATATTAATAACAGTTCTTACCGAACATTTTACAGGCTGTCTATTCTACTAATATAGACTTATAGTTTTATATCATACATTTAATTACAATATAAAAATAGTTTTTAGCTGAGGTTTTAATAATTTATCTAAGGCTTAAGCGTGGGAGGATAGGCAGAGTTAAAACTCCCGATGGCAGACCCAAGGGGAGCACAGCGTACATGTATATTTAACCCCTCAGCGTGCCCCCCCCCCCCCCAATCAAAATACTGACTCTGTCAGAGTCCGTACCTTACAACCGATTACAAGGTGTAAATTGTTATAACTGTGTTAATTGTGGAGCTTGTCACTGTCACACTGGCGAAAACCTCGATATTAAAAGCAAAATTTCACTGAGTGAATTGAATGGAGTTAATGATTATAATAAAGATATTTCAGAAATCTGGCCCCACATTTGTATTTGACGTCATGTTATTATTTGCTTGAGTCAAATTTCACCCATGATACATTTCGAGAATACATCCATGTATTTACCCAAAGATGTTTTTCAACAAATACATGTCATTAAACTTTTGAATATATTGATGCTATACATTTGATAACCAACCAGATTTTTTTTTGTGTGTGTTTGTGATTGTGTGTGCGCAAGCGCGTTTATCGAGGGTGTCTAAGAAATAACTGACAAAATGCAATTTGTACTCGTTGATGAAATATCAAAAATGTATAAGCAGAATGAAGTATTTAAATGGGTGAACATTTAACATGAAGGGACAGGTGCTCTAAGCATCACCACGTGCCAGTAGCCATCTGGCCAAGAATAATAATATTCCTCCAGTCGGTAGCGCTGCCGAGCGATCTCAGGCGCTGGTTTAAGGTACCAGTCTCTGCTAAGGCGTGGGTTTGAATCCCACCATTGTCACCGCGTTTTGTCTATTGGACGATGGTCTCGTCTCATTGTCCTAATATATATACACTGTATATATATATACCAGTTTATGCCCCCCCCCCCAAAAAAAAAAAAAAAAAGAAAAAAAATAAAAAAGAAAGAAAGAAAGAAAATAAAACTAGACATAAAACGCGGGCATCATGGAACGGAACGAGAAAGTAAAGCATTATATAAAAGGCGGATTCAGGATTATTTGAATGGGGGTCAGCGGATGCAAAGCCGATCCTTAATTTCCTTTCTAGTCGTGGGGTTGGCGAACAGTGCCATTTGGTACGGTTAAGAACTATCATCTAGATAAATTTCTAGTTTCAAAAGGGGTCCAATATTGGTGTAATATTTTCCAGAAATCAAAGAGGGGGAAGGGGACACCCCACTTAAATCAACACTGGCATAATACGTTAATATGTAGATATGGCGATAGGTGGTAGCACTTATCAAAAAGAACATCCTGACATTGGCCATGTCAATTAAAGAGTGCGTTTGGGTTCATCGTTAAGGCAAAACATGCTATTTGTAATATTTCGTATATATTTTTGGATACAGACATTATCTGTCTTCAAAGTTAGCTATGTGCATAATACGAAAAATAACACCTTTCATTTGACGTACTTTCGCTTTCATAGCTCAGCAGTTGTTAGTCATAAAAGATCACGTCTCTCTTTCATGAAACGTAAACCCACGTGGCTAATATAGGCCCCATCGCTGCCTTGGACCTGATAATGCGGTTGTACCGTTAACGGGGTCGATGGTGTATGCATTGGCGCATGTACTGTAGGAAGCAATATTTTGAAAGGTCACAGACGTAAACAACAAAGATGGCGGAACCTACAGCTGACGGTAAGACGCAGTGCATTCGTTTGTTAACACATTATCATCACTTAAATCTGTTTAAAATAATTGCATTATGCTTTTAATTTGTGCATTACATTCATCATTTCGTACAGTGCGACGCATTAAAATATATAACATAATGATCTAGAAGACAGACCAAGCGTATGTGCAGTAGGACAATTTGTGATAGTGTAATGTTTACATTATGTATACATGTATATATTGTGAACTATGATCTACTAGGACAGGTTTGGGCAAGGCAATTTGTTCGAGTTACCTGAATATGTGTGCTAGGCAGTGCTTATATTACATTCAGCTAATGGCATGTATATGTTCAACGACGCTTAATGCCATTTAACCAAATCATGTGATTGTGTACACAAATAAGGGTTTAGTGTGTGTGTGTGTGTGCGTGTGTGTGTGTGTGTGTTTATAGAGGGGGTTAATGTTTTTCTTTTTTCAAATTTTCTCCCCACAATCTTCTCTCTATCTGTAAATCGCTGGCTCCTTATTTTGATACCCCCTTTCCCTCTCCCTCTTCTCGTTAATGTATTTCCCTTGTCTTGCCACGGTAAGACCAGAAAAAAAGGCGTTAAGTTGACTAAGGAGGTGATTTTCTCTGTAAATTGACCTGGTAGACGAAATTTATTTATCTTATACTCATTAGATCGATGTTTCACAAACATAATGTTTAACGGCCATATAGCAAATATTTTTTTCTTGAAACCAACTGCCATTTTCCCAGTTTCCAAACCAATGTCCAAGGTACATTTTGTAGATCATCCCAAAGCTGTAACTTAAATTAATTCGTAGATGAGCCAAAATGTCCACTATACCACCTAGCGGTCAGTGAGTGTGAACATGTACTTACATCAGTCTGACAAAGGCCTTCGCCCAGGTTGGCCGTAAGCTAACGATACGAAAATATTTCGGCTTGTATTTGATAATTTCCATTTATGATAAATGAATTCGTGTTTGTATTATTTTTCAGATTACATTGAACACTTAAGTGTGATGCTTGTCGGTCGAAAGGGTCACGGAAGAACGTCTCTGGCTCGTGCTCTTCTTGCCCAATCAGATTCCCCCGACCAGACCGAATGCTGTGTACTTCATGGAGACATAAAAAGCTCTGCAAATGACACATGGAAATTAACACTTATAGATACCCCTGGAATTGGGGATTTAGATTTTACCAAAGAGCACATTGTAGAGACCATCCGTCGCCAACGAGAAGGTGTACAGCAAGTCGACACATTTTTATACGTGTTAAGATATAACTTAAGAGTCAGATCAACAGAAATAGAGGCTATAGACCTCTTGGAAGATAAATTCTTCGGGACATTTTTGAAGAGGGCCATCTTTGTGTTTATCCATGACGGTAGAACAGCTCTCAACAGTGAACAAAAGCAAAATTTCGTGGATTCGCTACCAAAGACTTTTAAGGAGAAAGCAGAACTGGCAGGAAATCGTGTTTGTTTAGTCGGCACTGCTGAACCAAATAGCATACTATGTTTTTTGGAGGAGCTGCGAGGAATGGTCCGAGAGATTATGCGTGAACAAGAAAAACCGTGCATTCTGAAGGTAATGATTGCTACAATTCTTTCAAATGCTTTTTATACTAGAAAAATGGGCTGGGCATTATTTTTCCTCTCCCCAAGTGTTTCTAGGACACTGGTAAAATGATTTTTAAGGCAAATTTGATATTTATTTTTTCTTAATTTGTTTATTCTGGTTATTTTGTTATTTTTTCTGTACATTTGTAAAGGTTTTATAAATATTTTAGATATCATCTAAAATGAATAGAAAGCGTTACTATTATTATTATTTATATGACTGCAGCCTTTATGTCTGCTGTATATTTTTTATTAAAGGAGGAAGCCTCGTTGTGGGACATCTACCAGTACATCTCCGTGCTTGAATATTTCACTAATGGACAGTCTGGAAACGAAGGAAACGACTTTGATGATTTCTTCGTTGTCGACTTTGAAGATGTGGACTCCAAAGTTGGCACGTGGGTCAAAGTTGTCGTCAGTAATCAAAAGTGACCATGTGTAATGGATGATGCCATAGACAAACAAAAGCCCGTGTGCAACAAAAACCGTTGTAAACTGTGAATTGATCACTTCGGTAGTTTGACTCCATTGAAAAGAAATCATGGAAATCTCAAGTGATCATAAACTAAAATGAATTTTGAAGGCCGCGCATGGTGTCAGAGGAAAATACAGGGAAATCTCTGGGGCAGATAAATTATCATAAGACCAATATCACTCACAGTTGAGCAAGCTTTGGCAGCTTTCAAAATTAAACTATTCTTTCTTGTGATGATCCCTTAATATTGCAAAAGAAATTAATCTTCAAAATTGATCAGAACTGAGGACAACACCAGTATTTCATAAGAAAAGAAATTAAAAAATATGTTCAGTCATATGTCATATTGTTTCGTTTGCTTAACTAGCTTTATAGAATAACAAGAATGTGTTACAAAACGTGTATTAAAGGTTTATAACAGCTACAAGTCCAATACTTCGCCTTTTAGGCAAATATACTGCTTGTGGGAAGTTGATGTGCTGCAAGTTTAGAGATAATATGAACATTAATGAAATCTCTTTGTGCTTTTCATCTCCAATTAAATTTTATTTATTATTCAAACTTTACAATTTTGCTTTTTTTCAATTATTAAGTTTATAATGAGTTATCTACGCGTTCGAAATTAAAAAAAAGTTAAATATACAGCTAAATATTCTGAAAAGTTAAGATCTCTCCAATCTTAGACACTTCAAGAACGAAAAAAACAGTTGATTTTTTTTACAAAAAGGGAGCTGAATAGTTGGACCAGGCAATTAATAAATGATACGTGGGTAGGAAAAAGTTGCTATATTCTCCAGAAAAATTAGAAATCGTCAAAAAATCTCTTAACCCAATACCTTTGAGTTGTGCCATATATTGTGGTGTCAAAATTCTCTTGGACTTAATTACAAAAATGAGTCGCATCATTTGTTAAAACATTAAAGAATTCACATTGTTTGACCTTTAAGTGTTCAGACATAATAATTATAATGATAATAATAAACTATTATATCGTCAATAACACTGTAAATGTCCTTCAAATCTTAATACATAGGATATAAATCTAAATAAACGAAATATTAACTCGTGCTATATCAATCACATCTCCATCCCATAACATCAGTCGTACAACCCATTCAGCTGGATAAGAAAAACGTTCTACCAAAAAGATTTTCGCCCGTCTAATGAAAAAGTATAATGTAATCATAACTATGATTGTAGTATGAAACATTATGAAATTTCACCATGACTTATATCATGATTTAGGAACTGTAATTGTCTGACGCTGATGAACACGGTTTGGCATACAGTGGAATTTCTAATGTTGATGTTGCCTCAAATAGAAAGGATAAAACGTGTCTGCCACTTTCAAAGATAAAATACCTATGTACAAAAATACAAATTCTAAACAAGGCAGCAAAGCTGTCAAATGTACAGACAAAAAACAGAAAATAAAGATGCAAAAAAGGTCATTTTGTCAATTTTGATGCAAAAATAAATAATGCTTATAATAGCACTGTCAGTCAACATTGAATTTTAATCATGCACAACAAGTAACATGGTCAATAACAGGAGTGGACCCTGAGATATTTTCTGACAGTATTCCAAAGTATCTATGTTGATCCATCCTCCATTTTGATGGTCTTTCAATAGAAAAAAAAGATACCAGTCAATATAAACTTAATAACCTGACTGTCTTCCGAAGACCGAGAAGATGGTCTCAATCCACCCCTTAAATAAGATTACAATTTCAGGACCATGAGAGACCAAAGTCACATGATGAAAGTCTCAATATTTGAAAAATGATGACAGTGCATAAAATAATATTACATAATATTTAAAGACATAAAAAACAACTGCTTATGTGGAAATACAGAAAATGTGCAGAGCCTCAGGCAGATGAGAGTTAAAAGTCACAAATGCAAGTGTTTGAGAAAAAATTATAAAGGAAAACATAACAAAACTTGAAAAGCACTCCAAGAGTGCAGACCTCTGCCAAGGCAGCAATTGTTGATTATTATTGATTATTGATTGATTATTGAGCCAGACCACCACCAAAAACTAATCATTGTCCTCTTTGGTCCACTTCTGACAGTTCCTGACAATTTCAGCAAAATAACTTTTGAGTTATGTTGATGACGGACAAACTATAACCTCCTTGACAGAGCCTGAGGTAAATATAATTCCAAAGAAGCTGCTATTCAAACTTTTAATCTTCGAGTTTGATATATATATATATATATATATATATATATATATATATATATATACCTGCATAATTTACCTGTATAATTATCACTGCTTCCTTATTATTAATCTAGCAGAGAGCTTAACCTTTGGCAGTTTACAGGGAAATATCAACAAGTGTGCTTTATGTAATCTCATTTAATGGCCTATTAATTAGGCAAATGATTTTATAACTTAGCTAAGTGATACCCAAGGGAAATTTATAGACTGACCCTCTCAAAGGTCTTTCAGGCCCATAAGTCACATCTTAAGAAAAGCACAAAACAATAATGCACAAAATAGGTGACTACCAATTCTGATGCAATAATACATTATGTTTAACTGCACAGTCAACATCAAATTTTAATTATGCACAACAGGTAACACC